TATACACTGTACAGTACATCATTTTCTATAATTTTTAAGCATTGCCTTTTATATTTTTCTGATTTCATTATTTCCTGGTTTTGCTATTTCCTGTCTTCTATAGTTTTGTTTACAACTACATATTTAAATGACTATGTGCCTCAATAAGGGAATTAAAAAAAAAAAAAAAGGAAAGTCAAATTGAAAAATGATCATAAAATTCTTAAATCTGAATTATTGCATTTCATAAACCTTGTATATGGATCAATAATTTTTGATTGGCTCACAATTAAATAATTTATACTTCTACATTAACTATCTTATGAATTTCATAATATTTCTTTCACATTACAAACAATTAGCATCCATGATAAAAAAAATATCTTCAAGATGAAGTTCCAAACATAGAGTACTGTACGATTTACAGAGTTTCTATGAAAGACAAATAAAATTATTTAGCACATATATAAATGTTATTAAACTATAAAGCAATCCAATTGCAAAAAAAAACCAACAAAAAAAACAAACAAGTTAATCCATATGTTATTCAACAGGAGCATAAACTGAAGGTGCGGCCACTAGTAGCTGAGGCCACGGAAGCCAAACTCAACTGCTAGTTTCCGCTTTCAGGTAAAGGGCGCAGCATAAATATAACTTACTTCACCTCTCCAGATAGCTACTGAGAATATAATGGCCAAATGTGCAGCATTAATTGTACGAACGCATGGTATCATGACCTATGTACAGAGTGTATTGTTCAACGATACTTAACCACAAAACAATGGTTATATAAAGTAAAGAGTTAGAGGATTTTGATGAAACATTAAACAAGCAATTCTGTATAAGGCAAACATCTTAGGAAAAGCACACAAGAAAGATGGCTGACAAGGCGGCAACACAAACGTGGCTGCATATGCAAATTGTTGGCAAAGACAAGCTGTTTGTCCTCATCACAAACCAGCATGTACGTTGATGGTATTACAACTCAGGAGACTGGAAGACTGGTAGCCTCCTTTGACAGACCGACAATTATAAGTAAAAAACAAATAAGAAACAATAGCATGAACTAACCACGATTAACTTTTCACCTCACCTTTCACGATTATCAAATAATGATGGAAAATTTACGAATTTGTACAATGAGAACATATTTCAACGCCATTTACATCAATATTTAAAGGTGCTTTCTTTTCAAATACGACCGAGTGAAATTATCAATGGATAACTGACCTTTTGCAGGGGTGTTCAGGAGTATATAATAATAACCATCGGTCATGAAATATAGAAAATCCTGACATTCAATAAAAAATGTTATTTTATATAAATTGTATACAGGTATCAATATACTTCAATTTATTTATTAATTAAACAAATGCATATTATTATATAATGCAATATCTTATAAGCTTTTTTTCCATAACAGGTTTAAGAAATATGTATTTTTTTTTAAGTTGGTATTAAAGAAACCAAACTGGTTTAAAATCCCTATGGGAATACATGTTTTTCTCAAGAGCTATACACGATCACTTATTTCTAAGAATTCAACTGGAAACTCTTTATTAAAATTCATTTTTAAAAAATAGGGCAAAATTTATTTAATTGGAATTGAATTTCAACAATGAGGTCTCAGCCTCTTTGGGTTTATGGTTAGCCAAAAAGATTGAAATCTACAGGTGTCATCAGTAACAGTTGCTCGTATTCTAATGTAGTTAGGCAAAATTGTTGTAGTTGATACGTTTCTCTGGACTTCATTTATCAATAACAGATCGAATGCATCACCCAGGCTTGCCTCTCTGCATCCGAACACATCATACTCAATATGCCCATAATATCTAAAACAAACCACAGACTTATCACCTGTAAACAAGAGTCCATTTTTCGTATTTGAATTTGAATTGTGATTGTCTTCAACAACTGGTAGATGAAGCTTGTAAGAGAGGAGTAATCAGTGCAGTCTTACTCATTCGTATACAAACGTGACACATTGGATATGCAGGAAGCATTACAACGACCTACAACATATCAAGAGTTTGCAACCAGATAATCAACGCACCAATTGCATGTGAGAAAACTTATTTCACGCGGCTGTGTTCTTTCTTTCAATGAAACTTTATCAAATTCTTCCTAACAGTTTAATAGTCAATTGATTAACTCTCAACTACTTTGCATTTTACTTCCTTGTGTTTGTGTACAATAGTTTGAGGAAAAGTCATTTTGTATTCAAGTGTATATTTTCCAATAAATCATGTAAACATTTTAGTTCACTTAATTAAACTAACAGTATACTTGGTTTCTATATACAATTTAATTGTGCACTAATATATTGGTTAATTAATTATATTATATTATTAGAAACTACAGTAATATAAGATCATTAAATGTATTTTCATAGATAATTCTTATTACTTTTTTAAAATAATTATATAACAATCTAACTTATATAGATCTAACAATGAGCTATAGATGGTATTTTAACATAAAAATTTACTTTCATAAAATCTAGAAAAAACAATTTTTGATCATTGAACTACAACAATGAATCAGACCTACTCATTTAAAAAGATCACTTTGTAAGCACTGTAAGTTATCATTGCGTTACAATTAAAAAGTATTCACTGCTTTAGCTGGCAGAACTAAAGAAAAATAACTTAAACTTATTCAAATGTTTTTGTACAACATAGGATTTTGAAGTTTTATTATTGATCTTACTATAGTTCACAATAGGGTTGTGATAACAGTATTATTATGCTATTTATCCTATTCAGCTTAAGACGGTCAAGCTAGCACTTAAAAGGAGTTAATCCAATTCTGCAAGACTTTCAATCCACACTGCTATTATTGCACTTAAATCAACAGATAAGTATAAGAATAGGAAACATGAGAGCCCAAACAACACTTAGAAGAAATAGTGTTGTTTGATTTTGGTGTCAACTGTTGTATAGGCTAAGCAACCAGCTACTAAACGGAAGCTGTTGCCTCTATTCTTTCTACTTAGGTTTAACCAAGGTTTTACTCATTCTTTGTCTCATTAGACAAATGCAAACTTACTACAGAATACAGAATAAAAACAAGGAAGTGATAATATCAACACCTGCATTATCCTTAATTACAGTAGTTCCTTGCGTATAAGCTCAACTCTGGTAGACCATTCCCTACTTTACAATCAATTTCAGGTACCAGCAATTCTTCTGACAAAAGCCAGGGCATGATCTGAATGAGTTTTAGGGGAAAATGAGATTGGTTTTAAATTGGGCATGAAGTATTAGAAGTTTTCCATTAGACTGGCCAGTATATAGGTTTTTCATGAACAGAGTATTTATCAGTTGTACCTACCTCCCAAAATCAAAATGTTCATGTTTAAGAAAGGGATGGGGGATTAGCTTATACCAGAGAAACAAAGGTATGTTCAACATAAACATGTTTTAGACAACTTCCTATTTTTTATAATACCCTATTTTTAATCCAATAACTTTAACAGAAAATTAGCATTTGAATATTTGACTTAATTGGTTAAATCTATTAATGGCTATTTATATTTAATTATCATGTAAACTTTATCCAATTAGTGTTTTACTGTACAAGTGAGTAATCTCTGTTAATACATAACAAGGCAGACATAAGTCACCAAAATATTTAGCCAGCTCATTTATTCAATTACTTAACTGTGATTACTGTAATCACTTTAAAATCACTGTGTTGACTTAAGAACTTAATAGGATCAAACCAAAAAGTTTTCTTAAAGTTTTCCTCAACTGTGAGATATCCTTTGTTGTGGGGTGTTAGTGTTAATAGTTTGAGTCGGACAACAATTCAATTACCTGTCTTTGTCCAATATTGTACTTTACTGGCACTACTGTTTGCTGGTGTAGGCTATATTTGCTATCTTAGTTGTATAAAAAGGAATTTGGTTCTTATCTATGAACAATATGGGCAGCTGTGCTAAAAAAGAGCAACTAGCTAAACTTTTAGAAGTAAACTACCCATTGAATTGGTTTTGTTAAAAAACCACCTGTAAGAATATCTAGAGTAATTGAAAACACACAATTTACATATTCAACTATAAATGCCTATTTCTAAAAATTATTTATTTAAAGTTAAGTAATAAATTATCAAATTATATGATCTTATTTTTATATATTTGTAATCTGCATGAACTAACACTAGTAATGAATCAAAAACAAGTGTTAAAAAATGAAATATACTATAGACAAATCAAGCAGCTAAAAATCTATAAATGACTAAGAAAAAAAATTGAATCAAATTTACAAACCATAATGAAATGTAAATTATTTTTTAAAAAACCATTATTATTTTCAAAATATGTTGAATTAATGTTCATACAATTTTTCTATTATTATACAATTCAATTTGGAGTTTAGTTACTTTTGGTATATTTGATACTTAAATTGTTCATGATGTGTAATGTTTCTCGATTGTTTGTTTTCTTCTGTTTAAATTTGGTCATTTTCATCATTGTTTACATGATGCAATTAAGAAAAATAAAGGAATAATAAAAACATTACTTGATCATCCAACAAAATAACTGGAGATATAGGTTACTAAATAT